GGGTGTGGGTGTGCGTGTGGAAGCAATAAATACTCACCCATACCCACACCACACCCACACCCGCCCACACTCACCCACACCCACACCCACCCACACCGCACCGACACCCACACCCGCACCCCACCCACACCCACCCATACCCTACCCAAACCCACCCACACCCACACCCGCCCTCAAGAATTACCTGATTTTAATCAAAGTTTTACTGGATTTAGAAGATTACTTTTTTGATTAAAAATCAAATTATAGTTGATTTAGAAGATTTCAATCGATTATAATTTGGATTTTGTTTTACAAAAATCTGGTTAAAATCTCACATAATCTGATACAATCTAACATTTTTTCACTGGGTACCTATTGAGCGGGAGAATTACGATGATATATCGTACTTTGTACTACAGGAATCAGATTGAATGCCGATTGATTGCAAAGAAATACAGACAGAAAGATTTTTGTGGAACAGACCCTTTAGCAACCTAAGGAGTCGATATCTATGATGAACAAATTTTGCATCTCATAGACTATTTATTCGAAATCCCCGTCTCACACGACTCCCAGGAAACCAATTTCTCTAAAACTCGATTTGTGTCTGGTATCGGTCACTCAGTAGAGCCACAGGTGCTCCGGTGGGATATCGAGCTCAATAGACTTCCAATTCCTAATGTCCTTCCTCCGATCATCCAGTGATATTCGTTTTCTTACAAACTCGATTCCTTTTGATTTCGAGCTAACCAATAAGATTCCGAGGTGAATAGACCCCTAATTTGAAATTATCGCTTGTGAAAACCCCTACCTGACTTTTTTCCCGAAAACGCAGGTTTGATTAGCTGCCTTCTTAGCAGTTGAATTCCTGTTCGGTGTGGGCCAACCAATCAGATTTCTAGGCGAATGAACCCAGATTCGAACTTATCACGTCCAAAAACCCCTGCGTTAGCGTTTTCCTGAAAATATTCAGTGCTTTCGTCTGTTTTCTTAGGAGCTGTGTTCCTATTGGTTTCCGGACAACCAATCAGATTTTGAGACAAATGGACTTCAGATTCGAACTCACTACCCTTGAAAACCTCTGGTTCCATGTTTTCTGTGTGGTCACGAAGTGGTGCTCAGTAGTACTTCTATAGTACAGAATACTGCAAACTGATTGGCTAGCAACAAAGGCAGGCCTTTTCCGGGCGAAGGATCAACTTTTTTTGAAAAAAAAAAGTAGATGTCGACCTTCTTCTGGATGAGAGGAAGATTCTTGGAAAGTTCGGTTGCATTTGCTCGTACGGTATGGAAATGCATTGCGAACAGACAGACATCATTCTTTGTATATATAGATGTGATAAATAAAAACCTTCTTCTTTTCACAACGTATCTGTTGAAGAGAAAATAAAGAGGTCGACATAATGTGTCTTTTTTTTATGGAATTCTTTTCTTTTCTTTTCTGTCATTTCCTTTACGGACATGTGATAAAAATAAATCATAAACAATTCGAAAGAGAAAAAAAAATTCTATCTTTTAGTAAGAAAAAGAATGCTTTTTTCAGCACCTTTCTATTAAAGAGAAATCCAGATTGTCACTTTTGCATCATACGTAAAATTATGCAAGTATTTTTCATCAAAAATTTGAAAGACACATTTAAATCATTGCTTTAACATATTAATGAAGATGATTCATTACAAGAGTTTCAAACCATCAGATACTAACATGCTGTCCAGATAAAACTGGCACTTTTGTTTTTCCACTGAAATTGTCTTGTTCATACAGAATTCAGATAATTTAGCGCTGCTCAATTGTCCACTTGTGGTCTCATTTATTTTGCTTGCAGATATGGATGACTTTATGCAATTCTCCGCTAATCAAATCAGATGCCAAAAAAAATTTGTTCACATCAATAGATAGAGAATTTTTAGCTCAATGCTCCTATGATTTTCTCAATGGTTTTTTTTAGTCTATCCTTCACGAGAAAAAGACTTAGAACTAACATCTATCAGTTCGTTTGAAAACCATGTTTTTCAGATCCAAATCTGTTTAATGAAACGTTCGTTCTCATTCCATCGAATGTAGAAGTTAATTCTGAACAAACATATATGACTTTTGATTTAAACAGTTAAAACTGTTATGTGATTAGTATGACAAAAAAACGTAGAATGACAACAGTTGTTGGTTAAAAACAGATTTCTTCGTGCTTGTACATTTCTTATAATTCAAAACTTTGTTTCACAAATATTGTTGCTAATATTGTTAAATGGATATTAAAGATTGTAAAGTTTTACGAAGAATATTATGGCAAAGTTCAAATTTCAGTGGGATTATTATTTAAAATTTTTCCTCACTTTTTTCCTTCTTAATTCGTCTCAGTTGAATGATTGATCAGCGCCGAAATTTTTATGCTCTACGTAAACAATCTAATTTCAAAAAGTAGGTTTTAAAGTTACTCTAAATGAGCCAAATAGTGTAAAAACGACGAAATAGAAAGTTGAAAAATAAAAAAATTTGTGTTTTGATTTCTTCGAAGTTTAATCAAATTTTCTCGAATATCTTTGATGCATGCTCTGCATATTTGAAAGAAGTCAATCAAGCAACAGAAAAACATGCAATTACATACTAGATTAGAATATTGAATCATTTTTAAATTCATCTTTCTATCTCTGATGTTAATAATCGACTTTAACATAATGTTTTTCTACTGGTCATGAAATTTTTCTAAAGAAAAGAAAAAATCAGCAGTAAAGTATGCAATATTTCGAAAATAGGATTATTTCAAAATTTATTTTAATGACTTTTTTATATAATACTTCTCTTTTACCTTATAAATCGTACTAAAAGTATCTAGGATGAGCGCTGATAATTTTTGAATTTAATTATAAAAAAAAATTCTCTAATGTTTTAATTTCATACGTCAAGAGATGTTGTTCCATCAAAAAAACAAAATACCTACGCAAATGTTCTCATTTATCATGATTCTTGCTTTTATTTTAGAATAAATAGGAAAACATAATTCATGGATATTGAATAGAAATGAAGTATTTAGACATAAGACACACTCATGGCTAGATGATTAATATCAACAAATCAAAAAAAATTTTCTTTTGATAAAATAAATGTAATAAACATAACTTGTACAGTCAAAGAACATGCAATAATCTGTTTAACCATGCATCAATAACTTATCAAATGTTAATACATAATTAAATCAAAACAAAGAATGCGAAAATGATACAAAAATATAAAATTAGAGCGACATACCACAAGAAATAAATACGAAGATGATAATAAAAACTTACTGGCTTTCTTATGTATTTTGTGATAATTACTTATCTAAAGGATTTAATTTGTATAGAACAATTGAAATTTGTATAAACTTATTGAAAGATTTATTTTAATCAACTAGGACATTTTGGATAAGGAGCTGACAGCAACTCAAAGTGTAATTGGAAAGTGCTTCAATTTCTTAAACAAATACTCAGCATAATGTTCAACTTCCGATTCAGTCATAAAGCAGACACTATCTTTGATAAATATTCATAAACATTTTAATATCAATAATCTAATAAACACATCACATAATTTGTTACAGTTAGATAGTCACTTGATATAAAGGAAAAAAGGTCTTCTAAATACCACTTTTTTATTAGCAAAACCAAAGTCGGCTCGGTAAATAAACGTTCGTTACAAGCGTATCTTATCACATATTAATTGCATATGGATTCTATATCTCTTTTTTTTGAAGCTATCCATAAAGTAGATCCAAATAAAAATTGCTTTTCTTGACTGTTTTTCCTGTTCCAGAATATCTCATTTTAACCAACCAATTGTGACATGTTTAAACGAATGATAAGTTCAATTTCACAGAGTCATATGCATAAATGATATAATTAGTCTGATGATGATATAGACAATACTGAATAAATTTTTTTGAACTATCTGTTAAACTAAGTTATTCTTTTTCCAGAATTGTTCTAAAAAAACATTGAATCTATATAAATGCAAAGTGGAGGACACGAGCTAAATTCTGGTAACGAAAACTTTTTTATGAGCATGTTGTATGGAATGTAATGCGCCTATTTTATGACAAATAACACATAATATTCATATAAACTCATACACCGACAGTTGAGCTTCCGACACTTGAGCCTTTATTGATTAATTACGAAAGAAATTAAATCACTATTCAATAACTTTGTTCAATACAAGTTTAGCAGACAGAAGCCATGCAACATTTTCCTATGAGGTCAATGAGTCTCTATTATACTCCTCCATAGCCAAATCAGTCATTTGTACGAAAGCAAGTAAGGTTTTCAAATTATTTTTATTTTTGTTATCCAGTTTCCATTACTGTTCTACCTTTACGATTTTTTAAAACTGTGTAAATTGTGATATCCGTGAAAACCAAGTACCAACCTCTACTTGATGGCTTTGCTTATCTATAGGGAGTGTGATTATGATCGCAATGGGATGTGGATGTTCTGTTCACATACAGCAACGCACAAACCCTGATACCCTTGATTTTTATTAAGATGATTCGTTCAGCTATGGAGAAATATACTAACGAGTTATTAATACTGTAGGAATATGGTGCCATTTTGTGCGTACTTCAGATGGACACAGAACAGAACAAAACTATAATCTATACCCATCCTACTGCTCACCAGGACAGGGTCAGATAGCAAGTGGGAAAGAAAAATTTGTGTTGTGTCCATCTCTACTGTGCACTACTTCTGAGTTCAACAAAGTTATTGAATATTGATGTAATTTCTTTCGTAATTAATCAATAAAGGCTCAAGTGTCGGGTCACCATATAAACTATGTATCATTTTTCTAATGAGGAATTTTACTTGTCAAATATTCAAGGGGAAAACGATCTACTCCCATTATACTCTCTAGGCTCCGAAAGTACAGTGAGAATCTTGGGAATACAAGAATATCTCGGTTCTCTTCGTATTTCCTGTATTCTGGGTGACTACGGAGTACATTGGCTCTATGGAATACTGAAGTATGTCATTTTCTCATTCTTATCGTTTTTAGTTGGCTATCCTTTATAAATAATACCGTACAATTATAAAGAAGCTGATGTAAATTGGTTTTTATATATAGAGAGAGATTTCAGTGTTAGTTCTGAGCTTATTAATTGGTGTTACAGGATTAAAAAAACTAATTTGTGAAACTTGACATTATAATTGAATTTGATTTTGATCTGTCTATAAAGTTATAGATAGAAAAAAATCTTTGCTCACTCTAACGACATAGTTTAAATTCAAGTGTATAAAGATTGAATGTACTATTGTGGTTCATAATTCAATTCATAAATTTTTACAATTATCTTTTATATTACTCAAGTATATAGACGATGAATTTTTCCATCATTATTTATGGTTTGAATTTGGTATTTTTATTTTTTGGTACTATTTTTCATATAGTATTCTTAGTACTCATTTGTATTAATATTCGTCCATTGACATCCAATGTATTATTGATTATAATAAGTAATAGTTATTTGGCATTGATTTTATCATCTACTACTTTATTTGAAACATCTTTAACTTCGTTTTTGGGTAATCTGAATTCTTGGACATCATTTAGAATTTCTTCATGTGAAATTCGAGCTTATTTAATAATTGTTGGTCAATCTGCGATATCATATTCATTACTTCTTCAAGCTGTTTTTCGACTATTTCGAATTGTTTTCTTTCAAAGAACAGCACTTCGATCAATTCGAGTATTTTCTATAGCCATTATTATTCAATGGCTCTTTGTTTTTCTTATTAATCTTTTGTATATATGCCTAAATAAGTTCGAATATATACCAAGTGAATATCAGTGCGGAATTTCCATGAATAACTCTAGTGGTATAGCAATCATGGTAATGGTAACATATATCTTACCTATAAATACAATATTTTTAATTTATTTACATATTATACGATATATTCGTCGAACAACAAACACAATACAAATTCGACAAAATATAAATAAACGAGATATGATTGTTTTCAAAAGAATTATTATTTTATTCGTCTTTCTAGAAATATTATCTATACCGTCATTTGTAGTTTGGATACTCTACATCATAACTGGTTATACATCAGCATGGAACTATACTTTTCTAGCATTTATTTCATCCATTTCTCAATTAGTTATGTCGCTTGTTCTTGCTTCAACGACTTCACAAATTCGAGAAAAATTGAAATGGAGATCAACCCAAGTACATCCAAACGTTGAAATAAGAGTTCAATATCACAATACACAAGTATCTGATCATCATGATCCTAAGGAAAAATTTTAAGTTGAACAATATGCTTCTATTTAAAAATAGTCACTCATTTGTATGTTTTTTCAAATGTCAAGAATCCATATTCAAAGCACAGATGTATGTAAAACTTAATCAAATTAATAAATAATACAAATGTTTGTTTTTTTTGCTTGATTTTATCAATAAAAAAAAAAATCGTTTTGAAAATTATCATGTTAAAGTTTGTATTCTATTCAAATATATTCAGTCAGATAAAATCGTATTATGTTTTGCGTTGGTCTGTTGCATTCTGTCCGTGTCGTAACATTATTATATATTATCTATTATTTTTCTTCTCGTATTTTCTCCTTTCATGCTTGACCAATAAATCAGTATATATTTTGTGAAGACAAAAACAATTCTGTCTAGCATCAGACCATAATTGAGTAATTGATGTTTTTAGAAAGCAGTAGGACTAACTATTCATTGGATTAAATTACATTTAAAAATAGAATCGTTTATTAAGACCAAATCAAAATACTTTGGAGTAAGACAAAGGTTTTGTTTAATTATTCAATAGTAATATAGCATGATTGGCATTATCTATTGTGTGTGTGTCTAGGAATTTCAGTCTCTCTTCTTGCCGTATTGAGATGTTAGATTGTTGTTTCGAATTATGTAAGATTAGAATAAATAGTGAAGCCTTATTTATATTGCAAATGTAGACATTAGTTTTTAAAATATTTTTCATCGACATTATACGAAAAATATTCTAATTTAGATGCCAACTGTAATAAATATATTGAATTTCGAGTATTCTATTTTCTGTACGTATTAAACATGTTTAGGTTTTAAAATCGACTAACTTTTTGAAAAACTTTCATATAATGGCCTAGGAACTGAACAAGTATTTAAGAACTTATCTAGGTACCACCCGTGTATTATGAACATTGTTCCAGTGCCTTAGTACCTTGAACTCAGTACATTCATAAGAATTACCACTCATTGAAGGTCTATCAATATATACACAGGTTGTCATTTACATATTTCAATTGAACATTTTTTTTCTCGTACCTTCAGTTTTCATGGATCGTCTTCACTACATAGTCAGTTCCTGTTTTGCTTTTATAAAATAAACTTCACAGATTTCTTGTTTCATAGATGTAATTAGATATATATAAAAGCAAATTTTCAGTATAGATTTTTCTTTTTTTTGTTCATAGCTTTCGTCGATGTTATGATTATTTCATTTGTTTTAGACGCGTTGTCTTACAATGCAGAAAGATAGAAACAAACAAAAATTTTACTTTATCTATCGTCTTGTAAAAAATTATGTTTTTTTTGGTCAGTGTTGCCTTTATACTAAAGATACCATATATCTGCTAATTTTATGTATATTTATATCAACTAGGTGATATTATTTTATTTTCTCTCTACATATCTAACCAAGCTAAATATATTTCCAATTGTTAATTTGCAACTGTGTTGCTGTTAGAGTCTGTCGTGTCCAAAAATGTTGGATGTAGGCTTGACTCGTACTCCTAATTTCATAACAATTTTTTCATCCTGAACCTGGTAGTCGTTTCGAATTCCGTTAGTAACACGTTATACATTCCTCAAATAATTTTGACGAAGTTCTTGTAATAATCAAGTCATGATTAGGTGTGATTGCTAGAGTATGATCCGTTGAGTCAGTCCTCAATATCACATGTTCTAGTTAGTGCTTCAGACTTTATTTTATCGTTGACGTATACTTAAATATTTATTTTATAAAAAATTCATCTAAACTTTAATCTTCAGAATTACAACAATTAGCAACAATGTATATATTTTAGACACAAGAAAGAAACTTTACGTTATTTCTATAGGTTCTTAATGCTATTAAATTATTGGAATTATCATACGTAAATTTTAATTCTAATGACTAACTATTTTTTATACAACCTTAGTTTACTGTCATGTGGACACTTTGAAATGAATATTGTAGTCCTTCTCAGAACTACCAAAAGAACTTATTTTGGAATTTTCACTTGAAACTTTATACTGAGAAGGAACTTGATGAGAATAGTTTTTTGTGAAACAGACTTTCAACATAGCTAAATTTTAAGATAGGAATAATGATAAGATGTGAAACTATTCTCGTTAAGGATTCTCTCTATGCAAAGTTTGAAATTGAAATCTCAAGATCATTTTTCCAGAATGAAAACTACGGCATCATTTTAAAAACTACCGTAAAAATGCAATATTTCAGCAGCATTAAGCTAAGAAATCTGCATTATTTCCAGGATACTCATAGTTCACTTGGCTTTGCGCAATGCACGTAATCTTGAATCACAAGCGATTTATCAGATGTGAGACTGCCGTCATATGTTAATAATAAAAGATAAGATACCACTACCGAAGAATGCTAGTTTCATCTTGGTTTCACTATTATCTCTATGATAAGAAACAAGGTGTCATAATGAATCTATTATATTTATTAAAAACGAATTACTTTCATTTATACAGCTCTATTCTCAGTACTGTATTATAAATACCCTTTCACAATTGTTTTCTATTCATTTTTGCTTAGTCTTTTGTGCTAATAATATTTTTGGTCTGTCTATTCTATGATGAATTAGAAAGCAATCCAAAAAAAGTATTTTATTCTACTAATCTGGTTTGTTTTTCAAAACTCAACCATTGTATTTTGTTTTTGATGACTTCTACTGTATGCCCTTTTTGTTAGAGTACCATATATCAGTAAAAAGAAAATAAATACAATAAGATAAGTAAAATCGGATTTAATGAAACATTCATCCGCTTTGTAATTTTTTTCCATCTGAATTCTTTTTTTGCATTTTATTTTTATAGTTTCCGTTACTTTCTTTGTTTTCATGATTCTTTTCTGCTAGATTTGATTGTTTTGATGCTGGTGAAAGTCTTTTTTTTTCATCTAGAGATTACTTGATCAAATAAGAAGTACAATATCTCAAATATTACTTAGAAACAAAACAAATCAATAGAACTTCGTGTTCATCGCCTTTTCCTATTTTTATCATAGTGTACTAAATCCATACACTGCATTCAATGACATTTGATGTTTTCCTTAATTAACTGTATGAAACATTAAATGAACAAAGGTATCTTGTTTTCATTCTTATTTCAAAGTGGTTCAAATTAAAGCAGAAATAAAAGAGAACAAATTACTACTTAATTAAGTGTATCGATACTAATAAATAATGAAGTTAAAGTCATGTTAACTATTCATAGAAATCACTGCGAAGAATATTTTTCATTGATGAATGAATCGAGATATTCACTAATATAATATTACGGTAAGATTTCATTGTAACGTACAATGAAAAATAAACAATAGTCAGCTATCAATTTGTTAGTATGCAACAGAAGAAGTCCAATAGGGTTTTTAATCTTTGATTTTGTGAGACACGACCTAAACAAGGGTTAAAGTGTAAAGAGCTAAGTCTGGACCTGTTTCCTGCTCTCTTACAGTTGTGACAGATATCTAAGCAAAAACTGATCAGAGACCACAATTTAATCAGCGATTAAAAAAATTGATTATAAGAGCCAATTTTATGTAAGACATCTAGAAAAAAAAGAGCTTCATCGAATGTTTTTTGTAAGAATATAATTAGTAATGTCCACGTCAGAATTAAAGAGGGATTGGTGTAAACCTAATAACTCGGTAATGGTAACAGCTAGCGACCTGCGATTTTCAACAATTGATAGAGAAGCAGTCCGAACGACTTTTTCTCCGATAATGCACAAGATGAAATCCTTTTAAAACTAATTCTTCTCCAAAAACATGCAAAAGAATGCATGAAAATGGCCTGCCAGTTAGATGAAATGTCGATTTTCACCTTTGATTTAGATAGAAGGACTTGACATGTATAGGTCAAGACACAATGCACTTTCTTACTTTTCCTTACATTTTCGTCGAAATGTCAAACTATCATGTTAAAAGTGCGAAAACCTAGCAAAAAATCAGTAAAATTTCCTATTATTTTCGCATGTAAATATATGATTCCATTTGCTCAACGTTATCATGTAACAAGAGAACCATTTGTATCGTATCTTGAACTATAGATCTCAAGTCCTTCTATCTAAATAAAAGATCAAAATCAAAATTTCATCTAACTGGCAGGCCATTTTCATGCATCCTTTTGCATGTTTTTCGAAAAGAATTAGTTTTAAAGGGATTTCGTCTTGTGTATTATTGGAAAAAAAGATATCCGGACTGCTCCTCTTTCAATTAGTGAAAATCGCAGGTCGCTAGCTGTTACCATTATCGAGTTATTGGGTTTACACCCATCCCTCTTTAATTCTGACGCGGACATTAGCTATTGTTTATTTTCAATGTTTCTTGAAATGAACGAACGAATAACCTTTATATAAAAGAAAAGAAAGATATAGCTTTTGATCTTCATTTGTTTTTTCATCAAATTATTAGTTGAGTACATAACTCTTATTAATTATAGTAGGAAACAGATAGTGGCAAAATTCAGAGCACTAGTGTTCCCCTTGTTTTGGGCAGGTAATGGTAGCTTGGGTTTCCACGTTTAGAGATCATCCGGTTTGGGTCCAAAAATTCTGAACTCAACAGAGTCTAGCAATTTTATCAACAATATACGATGCCATTGAAGTAGCTACACTGTTGTCTTCACTTTCTAGAACAAGAGAAGAGCCAGTTTACTAGTGATTTGCATCCTGGATGGTATAGCACATGTAGTGATAGCTGCACATATCGCTGTCTATCTAAAACAAGACGATGTTAATGTTTTGGCCCTATCGTTGGAGATAGATTAATATAGAATTTATATCACAATCTTGATACTATCCAATAAGAATAACACTTATTATATACAGATCATTCATTTTTGTTTAGACCATTTCGAATATCTACGAGTCATTTAACATTAATGGTTTATATTACGTATATTCATGAACAAATGAAATAAATTATTCATATAATGAGTTTAATATTAATTTTAAACAGTATTTTTTTAATATTTTTAACCTTAAGTTGTATTATTTCTGTGACAGTTCTCGTATTC